AAGATCTTACAAGACCTTGTCACTTCTCATAACCAGATCTTGGGGGATCTTATAACAAGAAGTTACAAGATTCCATAAGATCTTATATTATCTTGGAATAAGATCTTGTATGATCATATCGTAAGACCTTATTACAAGATTTTACAAGAAAATATCAGATCTTGCAAGGTCTTACAAGACGTGTTTCATCTGGGTTCTTGAAAATGATTTTGTTACGATTGCTTTTTCACAAGTGTGTATATGAGCACTTTTTATTTTCTTTCTCAAAATAATGTCAGAATCCTTTTGCTAAAGGAGTCTTAACTTTGTGAAAGCAACAGCCGTTCTTTTCAGTCCCTTTTTGCGAAGGTAGTCTACTAATCGATATTCGCCAATAATGATACCCCTTTTGTCAATGCCCTTAACTACTGGCGAATGTTCACGCGACATTCACCAATTGGCGAAAGTTGTACTGGCGCACAGCGACAAATTCGTAGTGATTTCTAATTTTTCTTCTTATAATAAGAAAAAGTAACAGATTTCGCCTTTTGCTCAAAAGTCACGTGGTATTAAATGTTTATGTTGCTTTATAAAAAGAAGTCCAGAGGTGTATGAGATCTTTTTTCTCGTACACATTTTAATGCTCATGCATGTGTTGGGGCTATCGAGCCTGCAGCTAATGTCTAACGAATAATCTTCCTTGTTAATTGCCCTTGTTCAACAATAAACGTTCGATTTGTTCCACTATGTTATTCTTCTCAAGCGAAATTATCACAACTACGTATAAAAAGAAAACAGCGGAAAGAATAAGCCAGAGACATTACCCGATGACGTTACTTCAAGTGAGTAGCATACATAACTGAACGAACGATTAGTAATAAAGAAAGAGAAAGGCTGTGATAAACCCATCGCCTGCCTATACATAGTAAAGTAACAACAGTAAATAGAAAGAAAAACAACTGTTGTCTTGTCACTAAACCGGCCGATCTGTACTGAAAGAAATAGGTCTAGAAATAGTTTTCAGTTTTTTACTGATATTTGTAGATGCTTTCTAACTTTGTTCATTAATATGATGAAAACAAACAGACTCGTATCACGCGGAACAGCCGCAGTCCATACATTTTATATTTTGGAACATATAGGGCTGAATTCTTGACTTTCCAGGAAGAAGCGCTGGTTGAAGTGACACTTAATTGCTTAAGTGGCATTCCAGAGCTGAAACATCTAAAGTGTCACTCCAGAACTTAAACACTTAAAGTGACACTTAACGCGGAGGTGCACACAGTTAAAGGTACTTAAAGTGAGGTTTTACCCCCCTGATCGTCTGTCTACGATTACAAGTGCTGAACAATAAAAAAAAGAAAGTGGAAAATTAGTTTCGAACCCCTGTTCTACGTGTTCATAATGACAAAATGCCAGACGGTACCGCTGGTTATACCGACGGTATACAGTGACATACCGCGTGGTTACCGCCAGTATACCGGACGGTATTTTCGTTTAGTATGGTGGTATATCTCACGGTAACTGTCGGTATTTTGTCGATATTCAGCACATGGGGAGGCAACTGTTATTACCACATGGGGAGGCTTCAGTTATGTGACAAGACATTAATCACACTAAGAAAAAACAAATGTCATAATATCTAGAGGAACATATGTTGTGTGTGAGATTTTTCCGTCTCCTTTTGATACATATATAAGACGGTCAAAAAGAGAGCAAATCTGAGCATCCTGCTTTCGCAATCAATTTACCTTTTTTTTGTGATTCGGAGTTGAGCCAATGGCCAAAACGTTTCGAGCAGTAACTAAAGTCATTCAACTCTTAAAAAGCGTCTATTTTTTTGTATAAATATAATATCTGATGAGGAAAGCACCAATGAAAAAGTTGTTAATATATTTTTCACCAGGCTAGGCCTAACATAAGAAAATATTTTGGGAACCAGGGTATCCACTACTAACATGCTTAGTAAGTACAATTAAGTACTTCCAAAGAAAAGTGTACTGATATCTTGTTTCGCGAAATACTTTTTCATGTTAGAACTGATCAGTACTAACATGCTGTGTAAGTGCTTGTTAGTACCAACATTTTCGCTTTCTCCTAGCTTTTTTTTCCCTTTCATTGATAAATGATCTTATGGCCATAGTACCTGATGAGTCATCGCTTAAATGTTCGTCTGTTACTTTTTATTTCACACATCCTAACCTGGATTTCACAAGACCTAACCTGGCTGAGATGTCGTGCCAGGCAAAACTAAAGTCAATGGAAGAACCGGATCGTAGATGAGCGAGTGATGAGTTAGTTGGTTTTCTCTTTTTTGTCAACAGTCTTCGAGAGCAGGACTGGTAATCTCTACTATGTGAATATTCGGTTCGTTTTTCTTTCTTTTTTAATGTTTGTTGCACTATTAGCGGCGCTGAAATACAAGGCCGGTCGTTATTTTTTGAATAACTCAAGAGGAATAAAAGATAGAGACTTGCAGTTTTCATCATTCGCTAGCCAAGATCTGAGGCTATGTTTACATAAGCAACAACGAGTTTGCAAAAATTTCAAAGATCGTTTTTTCAGGAAATCTGTGGAAAATCAGTTCGATTCTCTGAAAGCTGACACAGAAATGTATGGATTTGTTTTCATACATATGTAGTCCAAAATATCCTTTACAAAACTGGATCTAGGAGACATCTTGGAAATCCATGGTTCGGGAGCTATGGACGTTTTTCCAGAAGCTTTAGCACTCTTCTGTCGTTAGGCTCTACAATTACACACTAGGAAAATATATGACTGAGCCGACTCGCCGGCCCGGCCTGGTCAGAAATTTTTCGTCAGACAATATAAAAGTACACATGCTTTCTGTTTAACAGGGAATTTTCCAACTATTGATTCATGCGGCTAAACTTCCTTATGTTTTTATAAGTGAATCACAACTGGCTGCATCTTTTAAAAAGTGTAACAGTCACGATGCTAACATTTTTGAAGATGGCAAAAGAACATCATCATTCTAACCGTTGCGGTATTTATACTCACATTGTCTGCACGGTAACACTTCTTTCAAACGAATTAGATTGAATGAAAAACATGAAATTGTGAAATTAAGAAATTATATTATCAAACAAAAGTTTTTTGATTTCCTGCTCGGGATATAATTTCAAACTATATCCCGCTCAGAGTATTAAAAAAGTTTTGATGTTGTAAAAAGGATATCCCTATCATGTCTCCGTACTGTTTAGTGTTCCATCAATTATTTGCAGTAGGGTTTAAATTCTTCATCTGTTTCATAGGCTGGACATGAGCAGGAGAACGATTTTTTTTTCTCTGTCAGTTGTTGGTATGCATCCAGCACATATAAAAGCATCTGTAATACCACGACCATCACCTTTACATGGTATTTGCAGCCATGAACAACCAGACTCAATCCATGGTCCAGTAATATCATAATCTATAAAGAGGTAAGACAGAATTTACGATACAAAGATAGGAAATGCAATGAGTTTAACTTACTGCGGAATGTCCCTTCTGATTCGGACAATATTTCACCTGCAACACGACGTGCGACAACTCGAAAACTACCAGTTGTTCTATTTCGTTCATACCATAATGGTACATCCCATGTTGTCGTCCATTCAAATTTGGCATATGCTACTGAGCATGCAGTGACATTTTTACCTGTGTTACAATATTTCTCTAAATCGATTTTTGATAATCCATCTGGACATTGATGGCTACCTTCCAAACAGTGCAGTCTTTGGCAAAACGATTCTTCGATGCGAAACTTTTTACAACAGTTACAAGAATATGACACAAATAAAAAAAAGAGAACAAGCTCAGTTTTATAATCTTGTTGTAATACTAATTTTATTTTTTTTTGGTTGTCCTCTTCCCCTACGTTTACCAATAAGTTGTGGACGGGCCTTGTACCCGACCGATGTTAAATGGTTCCTTTCGATAAACACAAACATGTTGATCTTTAATGAAATCTTATAAATCGCTTTTATTGTCGCATAAGAGCACTTCATGCCACGTGCGACGTAACATTTTAAGTTTACAGTTAGAATGAAGTTGAAAATGTTATGACTTCATAATACTGTGCTTTATGCACATGTTTTCCCTCTAGACTTCATTATTGCGAGATCTTTTCTGCATAAATAGATGAATTTATTGTTCCAAGATCTTTTCTACAGAATAAAACAATAAATAAAATTTTCCGAGATCTTTTATGCAGAAATACTTAATTGCCATTTTCCCAAAATCTTTTCTGTCTTTATTTCCTTCCGAGATCCATTCTGCTAATTTTTCGAGAGCTTTTCTGACTTTATCCATAAAAGAAGAAAAAGCTGTGTTACGTAATTGCATTCGTTTATGTGTATCTGGTGTTTGACTATAGAATCTCTTCTCTTTTTTTGTAAAAATTTCCGTTCTACGTGCACACTTTCTGGGAAAAATGTAAGACGAAAAGTAGTGTATGTCTTAACCCCATCTTTGAAAAATCAATTATGTCGTTCGAATCAATGCAAATTCGGTTATTTTACATATTTTTGATCAAAAAACTGCAAGCTATGTTTTGCTAACAAATTTTCACCTTTGACCGAAAGGAACTTCATAAAAACACCAGTTTTGCGAAGAAATTCAGCTTCCGGACGTACGGTTTGAAAGCAATCAAGTCACTCGATTTTCCTCGGTCGTTAAACGACTTCAAATTACACCAAAATGTTCCTCAATATGTACTGTATCTATAGTGCATGTACAAAAATGCAGCGCGTTTCCCAGAAATCCGGGGGATATTGGGCGTATGCCGAATCTCGATCATAACGTATCACGTTGTTGCTTGTTTCGCGTTAGCTGGTTTCATCATAGCAAGAAAGACATTTCTTGAGCAAAAAAATAATGGATCGTTTTTTGCACAAGAAAGAACAAGATCTTGGGACATTCTTGTCCTCAAGATCTTACCATTTCTTGGGCTGAAGAACTTTTGCTAGGGTGATGCCTTAGAAATTAGCTTTGGAGGTGTTCTACTAAGACATCCAGTAGTGTTAAAATTAATTATTATTTATCCAGGATGCTAAATGCAACTGAAAAAACACAAGCCAACTGGCGAGGGAACCTTTGGAGGTGATTGAACGCTTTTTGCTCGGAATCTAGTGGATTGTAGGTGATCAGCCATGCTGATTACGAATATGACCATGAGGGGTGCCCTTAGCCCTTCGAATACCTGGTTTTCTATAAAACCAGTCTTCAGAAACTCTAAAATATAACTCGAACCTTTCTTAATGAGGCATGATTGTAGACCGCACATTTCTGATTAAAATGAGATATCTCCCAGCTCTACACAACTGTTCTTTGCGAAGCTATAGAATTCACACGAAAAGCCCTAAATGTTCCTTGTCAGGTCAAAGCTGTAGAAATAAGAAGAAATTAATTTAGGTCTTTTCTTGTGGATTCTATAACTTTGCAAAGAAAGGTCATGTAGAGCTGGGAGATGTCTCACTTTAATCACAAATGTGCGATCTACAATCATGCCTCATTAAGAAAGATTCGGGTTATATTTTAGAGTTTCTGAAAACTGGTTTTACAGAAAACCAGATATTCGGAGGACTAAGGGCAACCCCTATGGTCATATTCGTAATTAGCATGGTCGATAACCTATAACCCACTAGATTCCGAGCAAAAAGCGTTTAATCAGCTCGAAAGGTTCCGTCATGAGTTGGAAGCATTAGCGATTTAATTATGTATTACAAATTACGAGTGTATATTGGTGGCCAACAAACTCAAACACGTCAAATAATCAAGGGAATTCATATACGCAGGTAATTTGATGTAATGATTGTTTATTTGCAGAAGTATGGAGTATTGATGCGTGGTCGGGCAGCTAAGTGTATCCCCTTTAATGTCACCAATGCACCCAAATATTAGAAAAGTGATCCTCAAATTCACCGGATGAAAGTTTTAAGTTTAAACTGAACAAAGTGGCAAGGTTGGAACGTGCTTTTAAAAAAACTTTGGATTTCAGAAACCGTTCTTCAATATCTTACGAATACCCTGAGTATTATATTCGCAGTCAGCACGATTGACTACATATGTCTATGTTATATGTCTATGTTAGACATATGTGTTCTTCTATTGAGAAAACGACTATCATCCGAAAGTATTCCTTCGTTCGAGTTTTAGAAAATTATTATAAATTCAAAACTCATTTTCCGTATTAGCCAACTCATAACGGCATCTTATGGATCATAGAAAAATCTGAATAAAGAACTAATTTATGCAAGTCAAAATTGTCTATATCATAATCAGTGCTGCCACATATCTTAGTGGAAGATATTTAAGACCATTGTTGTTTTGATGATTTGAAAAAGTTTCTTTATACAGTAGTTGCCATGTGGATAATAGTAATAATGGCGTCATGCCTGTGGCGCAGATTATTGATTGCTTAGAGCTTAGGTGATGAAACATGTACTTTTTTTTTCTGCTTGGCTGTACATTGCTGATACAATGGGCGCTGCTAGTGCTCTTTTTAATAGAATTTTTTCTTATTCCATGCCGTCTAATGATAGATACCCAGGTGAAACACGTCTTGTAAGACCTTGCAAGATCTGATGTTTTCTTGTGAAATCTTGTAATAAGGTCTTACGATATGATCATACAAGATCTTATTCTAAGATAATATAAGATCTTATGGAATCT